GTAAGTTTTAACAGTAAATCAATGGTTTTCAAACTTTTACCCTTATGCCCCAGTCCGGAAGCCAAAAAGACCCCTCACTGATCACATCCCCACTTCTTCTTCTTCTTCTTCTTTTTTAAAAAAAATCAGACATCCACAATCAGAACCATCAGAAGAGCATCAGAGTGTGTTAACTTAGCTTCAGTCCAGTTTTCTCTTGGCTTCCACACTCCACTCCACATGTTTTGGCTCTATACTCCACCAATGGGACTCCACAGTTGGAGAACCACTGCAGTAAATGCACCTGAGTTAGAAAAGTGTCTTTTATTTCTATCTCTAACAAGTTTTGAAGGCCATGATGGCATATGCACTTCAGCGCGATGTAAATCAAGGAAATAATCATCAGATTGCTTGGTAGGCTAAAGGTTTTAGCAGATTTATACGCAATCTCAGGTGTGTTCATGGATGGGGGAGGGGATGCATATTTATTGATTTACTCTGTCACAGACATCAATGAGTGCCTGTCCAAGGTAGAAGGGGAGAGAGTGTGTGATCATTTTTGCCACAATTACATCGGTGGCTATTACTGCACGTGCAGACAAGGATACCTTCTCCATGACAACAGAAGATCCTGCACAGGTAAGAACGATACAGAGCGAGGCTCAAGAGGCATGTTTATCTGAGCTCAATCACTGTGGGTCAAAAGCTATTTAGCAGGGTGCAACGTTAAGAACTTGGTATACATTGTCTGACTATATTGATTTGTAATTAGGGCATTTCTGGAGCTAAACACGCTACTGCTCAGATCTTCTCAAATCTGAAACAGCAAACACTATTTACAGTGAAGAAAAGCAGGCGTCTGACCTCTTTGAGACATTAGCAACAACGCATTCAATTTGCCTGCATTCACTGACGATGTAAACACATGAAATGGCCTAATCTTTCAGTTGGCACAGCAGCACACCCCAGAGTGTCTTTGGGTTTTTTTAAGGCCATTAAAATACGAATAGTTCCTTATCAGACTTTTGAAGACGAGCATAGAAATGGGATCAGACTGCTGTGTTGTAAACTTGTATTTAAGTCTAATTGTTCTCATTTGTCATTCAAAATGCTCTCATTATTCCCTACTACGGCAGGAAAAAAAACATGTCCCCCCCCCAAAAAAAAACAATTTGGTGATATTTCACACAGGGCACACACTTGCCGGTGCTCCGTACTGGATTTCATTTTGTCATAGCTGGCCTGTGCTCACTTATTTCAGACTGAAAAAGCATACTGATGCACAAAGTAGTTGATCTCTGCCAGCTGGTGTAAGGCGAGGTTAATTACTGTCGATTCCTGAGGGAAAAGCGACTTCAAAATGGCATTAAAAATTGATACCTGTGTGCAGCACTAATAATGTACTGACACAAGGTAATTAATCACAATTACGAGCTGATGTGCCTTAAATTATTATTCTTTGCCAGAGGAAAAAGGGTGACAAAACAAATCATGCGATGAATAGGCAAAAATGATTATCTGCCTACAGATTGTACTAATTATATGAATTACAGCAACTCTGCCTCTTTGCAATCCTCATTTGTTTTTGTCTGAGGCAACATCTGCACATTTGCTGGGACAAAAAGGCAAAACCTAAATGAATCTCATCATTTATGATGGCAGGAAATGTTTCAATTGATGTGAAACAATTATTTTGTTCTAATCAAAAACTCTTTAAAGCCAGCACTTCAGAACCCAGCAGCTGTCGGTACAGCTTTACAAAATGGTTAAATCAGTGCCTCAAAATGATCACTTTTAGTGCACGAGTCTCCTTCGCAGTGCCGTGCCAGAGCCAGGTGCTGACGTCTCCTTCGGGGGTTCTGAGTAGTCCGGGTTATCCGAACCCCTACCCACCTATGAGCCGGTGCAACCACACCATCCGTCTGCCAGAGGGCTCCAGAATAATCCTGAACTTCCTGGAACCCTTTGACATAGAAGGACATCCAGAAGCCCCCTGTCCGTATGATATGTTGAAGGTCAGTTGTGCGACTCCAAAGTCTGAACACACACAAGCTAATGAATGAGCAATGTATTCCTCCTCATGCTCGTGGAGGTGGTTTTGCCACTGACTTGTCCTGCTTGGGTGATATACTGTATAGCTATTGCGGTTTCATGCATATTTAGCCAGACATCAGTTAGGACTCAATCATGCTTGCTTATTTATTTGTTTTTTTTTTAATTCTATCTAATGTCCCGACATGAAAGATTTCAACAGCTGGAAAAGAGTATGGGCCCTTCTGTGGCCCAACGCCACCAGATCGGATTCACACGGGAAGTTATGACGTGCACGTTGAGTTCAGGTCCGACTCTAGTGGAAAAAACAAGGGATGGAAGATCAAGTACACCAGTACCGAGGCAGAGACCCTTTCTTTGACTTCAGACTGATGGCGCTACAGTTCACGGACTCTGTTTCTAATTGTCCTTATTTTGTGTAAGATCTTGCTATTCTTTGTTACATAGACAATAAAAAGAGATTAAAATAAAACTGTTGTATTATTTAGATCCTCTTTGCTCATTACAATAAATACTGTGTCCAACTTTTAACCTAACAGTGTGCAGTCAGACGAGCATTTTCATTAACTTGGGTTTCCTCAAATTGCTGTGGGTGATTTCAGTCATCCTCTAATCTAGCCAAGGAATTGAAGAAATAAGAAAATCATTTAAGAGGGTCTAGATGTCAGTAAGTCTGGTCCAATAAGCGCCGTATGCTAGTCATTTAACCTTCATACATTATGCAGCTTGTTCTTAAACAATCCCGGCTACGCTCCTCTATCAAAACAATCATTATAGGGTTATTTAGTACAAAGAAATGACTTATCCACACAACATTTCCTCCAGCCGCGTGCCCCTCAGATGGTTCAAAAGTGCATGTCTGAAGGTGTCAGTGAGTGACAGAAAAATACTTGTGCTGATTTATTTTTATTGTTTCTTCTGCTCCAGTGTTTTGATTTCCTTCCTCCTTCTCCCGCAGAATTAGGTCAGCGCAATTTTTCAGTGAACGTGTGACTTTCTTAAACCACAGTTTGTTAGCTTTGATTGAGCTGTTTTTCCCAGGCACATATTTTGTAGTTTGTAGGCAACAACCCCGAGCATGATGTGTAGCTACTGACCCACAGATCACCTCGTCATTTTCAACCCAACAGAAATACGAGGTCCTGTGTGGACATGTGCGCTGTAAACTGTCAGCCCACGCGGGATTAAGGCTTGTTTACAGCATGAAATACCAGACAGCCCTCGGGGCTCCTGCGTGCTTACCGAGCAAACCTGCAGTTCTTACCTGAGCGCCGTTAAGTCATAATCTAATGCGCATGGAAGGTGTAAGACATGACGGAGCAATTGACCGCTCCTGTGCTCTCGCGCGCTCACTCCTAACTGTCCAGCCTAGTTGGAGCTAATTCCACAGGAATTACGCACACCATGAAACCCATTAACCAGCTGTTGAAAAATATCCAGCCGCAGCACGCTGCCAGTAGGCTGTCAGGCTTATAGCTAATATGCCCATCACTATTACACTAGTGCACGAACTCAGTTAAGTTGCTATAGAGAGAAATATAAAGTCTCAATATCAGAGACTGCTGCTTTTTTGTCATTGGTAATAATGTTCCTGACCACGCATACTCCTTCACCTTCACTAATAGGTGTTTAGAGTCTTCAAATTCAATATCACTAAGGAGATCCCTTGGTTTTAAGGCCAAACGCTACTGCTGTGTCACTTTACAGTGCAAAGCCTTTGAGGAAATCTCAAAAGTACTGAACTTTTTCCTTTTTTTTTTCCATTTGGATTGTATTGGATTCTAAATGCTTTCAATATCTGTCACAATAATGTGGGACAACAGCACTATGGAAAGTCTGAAGGCACATTTAATGAAAAAAATAAAATATAAATCCCTCCTCCACCATGTAACATGTATAAACATGCACCACCATATACAATTTCCTTTAGCTACTTGTGGAAAATTAATATGAAACAGCCTCCTACAACCTGCAGTTTTTCTTGCTGATGAGCTGAGGCACAACTTTTTATTTTTTTGGGCATACATGGACACAATACCGAGTAATTATAAGCTGCTTACAAATGCTGCACTTAAAGGGCATCTAATATGAAAGTACAAGCTGGCAGTGACATTGTAATTTCCCCACAACACGAAAAAGAAGAGGTCTTTCTGTAAATTCAGATCCTTCATTTGTGCTCATTGTTCAGGACACAGATGACAGGCATGAGAAAAGATACATCCCCATGAGTCACATGGACACTGCACACGCTGTCCACACCCTCTTACATCACACTGCCAGCAGACTCGTGCATAATAAGCTACAATGTCTCACACACACAGGGGTCATATGAATGAACATGTATCTAACTTTTTATTATTAAAGCAACGAACGTGTCTGTGTAACCAATTCAAACATATCTGGCCAATTTTGGCCCCCCCTTTGTATTTATTCCCGTTTCTGCACTTACCATTATTTATGAGGTATTTCTTCTCCTCTTTCAGATTCCATAAAACATCACACAGTGAAATTTCGCATTAGGATGCACAGTTTTGACAAATATTTCAAGATTTTTCAGCACACTCATTAAAAAATTCCTTGACTTTTAATGCAGTTTCCAAAAATAGCTAAAAAAAATATGACTTAAAAATGCATTAACAAGGCAATATCAGGATGACCTGGATACCAGATTTTCACTTTAAAACAGCAGAAGCTAAATTATGTGTTTAGCTTACTCTAACTAATTAAAAGTAACTTTTTACCTGCGTAAACTGAAGATCTAAAATCTCAAATGCGGTGCATCCCATCAATCATAGCAATAGTTAAGGGGCAGCAGAAGGCAAAATTTTAAAAAAAAGAAAAAAGTGTAATGATGACTATAAATGTAACAGGCAGCCTTAAAACAACAGTTCTTCATTTTTGGAGAAAAGAAAACATTTTCTTTCTTTCTTTTTAAACTTTCTCACTGTGATAAAGCAAATAAATGTGAGTTAGATGAGAAGACCCATTTTATTTAAATACACAACAGTGAACCTTGGACTTTGGCCTAGAGGCGCAGCAACTTTTCTGTCAACTAGCGAGGTTGCCAGAAGTAAGAGAATCTCCCCAAATACTGAGTTATAGCTTTAAGTTTAGATTTGTTTATCTGTAGTTATTCTCCCAGCATGAAACACAAAATAAGAAACCAGCTAAAAAAAAAAAATAGACCCAAGTGGTTAATGTCTTTGATAAACATGACTTGTGTAAATCATCCAGCTTCCTCTTGAGGCAAAAGCATTCAAGTGGTTTTGAAATCTTACAAAGTGTCAACACTTGGGATTCATGTATTCCAGCAGTTTTGTTATTATCAGTAACGCAGGGCAAAAATCCTACTCTGCTGGCCCCGAGGCTGGTAGTGTGAATTCTTATCAGTCTGTGCTCAGGTAGAGTCTCGGCCTAGTTGCCGCCTTGGGCTTGCTTTTCGACGCCCTCCTCCTTCCTCTTCTCGCTGGACTGCTGGCTGCCGCGCAGCTGTGTGTTGCTCCTGATGGATTGCACTGCCTGAATCTGCCGGAGACGTGCGGTCAGCTCAGCTTCGCAGGCCTGCAGCAGCGTGGACGTCCTCGCTCTGTCCCAGCCCAGCACCTGCTCCATAGCTTCCATCCCTCTGGCCACTACCATCTAAAGACACACAGACAGAAGCTCCATATAGTGGATATGGGAACATATGAGGCGATACACTGGCTTGCCCTACTAACATAAGTTTATGAATGCAAATGGAGATGGCTGACAAAGTCTTGTGCTTACACTGTACCTAAAGTAAATGGGATTATATCAGAACTGATGACGCAGGGGTGTGTTTTAAGTGTGTCAGGATGGGCAGTTTCACATGCTTGCTTTGATCATTTTGCAGCAGACTCACTGGGGTGTGTTACGACAAAAGCCTTACAGCAGAAGGAGTGACGTGGGAATATGATGACGTAGGATCATTGAAGGGAGTTGCCCCACATTGCTGCGATATGTAAATGCACCTCATTTGCTGGTGCCTGTCTAAATTTGCAGTTTGAACTTCTTGGTAGTTCTCAGAAAGAGTGGATTCTCTGCGACATTTACAATACAACAGATGTAAAAGTACACATTTGGGGTGTTTTTATTTGCTGATGCTTTGAGGCAGACTTAATCAGAGTTGTGTGAATAGGCTACCTGCAGATCCTCAGTGGAAAGCCTGGTCTCTGGCGATGTTTTGCCTTTCAGGACCATCAAAGTCCTGGACATAAATCCAGAAGCAGAATCCACCTCCATTCCATCTGGCACATCCACATCCCCGGCACCTGAGATATTGAAACAGGTTTCGATACATTTCAAAACATTTTAAACATAGTAAATGATTATTTCAGGTGGGGTTATTAAACAACAACAACAGGTCCACCTAGTGACCAAAAGATAGAAGTGCAGCTCTTCCCTCATGAGAAATTAAGAGAATGAACCGATAACAAATTCAGAAAGAAAAATAATACATGTTAACTAATAACATCTGCAGTTGTTTGAACCTCCTTCACTTAGAAATAAAAATACATATTTTAAGATAGAAGGGCAGCAAAATAAATAAACTGTGTTTGAATGTGTGTTAATGTTAGATTGAAACAGGCATCGAAATAAAAAAGCTGCTTGTATGAATGGGTGAATGAGGCATGTTGTATAAAGCGCTTTGAGTGCTTAGGTTGAGTACAAAAGTGCTACATAAGAACCAGTCCATTTATGTCTCTTGTTCTTAAATATAGAGAAAGTTTATGTATGATTTTCACATTTATTGTTTTCTCAAATTTTCTGATTTGACCACCCCTCCTCGCTGGCTAAAGTTATGTCAGTGATGTCCCCGACTCTCATCTAAAGAACTACATCTGGGGCCATTACCTATCTTGAGGGCTTCATAGTCACGGGACTATATTGATTATTTTGCTGGGTGTATTCATGCATATTGATCACATCTATTGATTACATGTTTGTTACGCAGAGGGAACTGTATAAGCACCCTTTTCAAATTAATGGTTTTTTGTTTGTTAAGCCACATAACACTGACCTATGAATCATTCAGTCATAAAAAGGTACCTCACTCAAGGGATGAATCTTGAGTTACACGTGTTGTGTCTACACATAACAGACATCTTAGATGAGCATCAATTTTAAATTGTATCTTTGGACACTTTGTTACCACAGCCTGTCTCAAAAACACTGCATTTCCGTTTATGCTTGCACATTTCAATAAATTGCTGTTCCTTTTTCCATGTTCATAGTGAAATATGAAGAATTGACTTTGACCACCTTTGCTCTTCAACACAACCTGAGCTCTGTTAGGCAGGGATCACTGTCATGCTGAAAAATGAATACAATCAGATCAAGGATTGATTGTGGACTTTAAGAGGACCAGGAAAACCTTGTCCCCTGTTTCAATCCAGGGGGTCAATGTGGACATTGTGGAGGACTATAAATACCTCGAGTATACATGGACAATAAACTGAACAAAACATTGTTGCACTCTACAGGAAGGGCCAGAGTCATCTCTATTTTCTGAGGCGGCTGAGGTCTTTCAACATCTGTTGGATAATGGTCAGGATTTTCTATGAGTCTGTTATGGCCAGTGCCATCCTCTATGCTATTGCTATTGGGGCAGCAGGTTGAGGGTCACAGATGCTAACAGACTCAATAAAGTGATCCGCAAGGCCATTAATGTTGTGGGGATGGAGCTGGACTCCCTTAGGGTGGTGTCTGAGAGGAGGATGTTGTCTAAGATAAGGACAATGCTGGATAATAATTCCCACCCACTCCCTGACTAGCCACAGAAGCATGTTCAGTGAGAAACTGAGATTACCAAAAAGCACCACTGAACGACACAGGAAATCATTCCTGCCCATGGCCATCTCCCATCTCCCTCAACTCCTCCGCCTAATACACTGTAAACACTGCAATAGTTACACACAACAGTTAAATGTCAATCATATATACTTCACCTGTGTAATATTCTTGATATTTGTAATTGAATGATTTGTATTTGTTAGTACTATTTCTTAAATTTGTAAACTTTGTAACATATTGTATTATTTAATTAGTTTAGTCCGTTACTGTTACTGTCTTCGAGCAACTGTAACCCACATAATTTTTAAAGTACTCTGATTCTGATTCTTTCCAGACAGTATTACATGGTGGATCAAAAACTAACTTTTGTGTGTTCATAATTCTATCATTTTTGACACGATCCCCAACACCACGGGCTAAAATGCAGCACCAAACCACGACAGAGCCTCCAGTGTGTTTTATAGACACTCGGTTTTGGACCCCTCTCCTGATGCCCTCTGTGGACATTGATGACAATATGAACCAAAAATCTCAAATTCAGATTCACTCCATAGGATCTGCTGCCTGTTGATTTTCAGTCCAGTTCTTGAATAATTTGGAATATCTCACCCATTTCTCCCCTTTCCCTTCCATAAGAATGGCTTCTTGACTGCCACCCTTCCACTGAGACCATGTCTGATGAGGCTTCTGTGAACAGTAGATGGAACAACTGATGCACCACAGAAGCATCTCTTACACCCTGTGTCAGCTCTCTGATTTGTTCTTCTATTTCTTCATGACATGACTTACATAGACTGTTCATCTGCTGTAGATACTTTGGACAGTTGGCGGACAAAAAAAGTGGCAGTTTACTCAAATGTTTTAAGGACATACTGCACACCATGCTAAGAAAAGCCAAAGCTTTGGCAAGTTTTTGGCAGTCACCATGTTGGCACATTTTTACCTTTGGCATTTTCATTGATTCAACTAAAAAAATTGAAACAAATGATGTGTTTTTGCCTCACACTGCTAGTAACAAAGCGCCCAAAGATTCAATTTAACATTGGTACTTTGCTATGGTGTCTGTTATGTGTAGACAAAACGCTGGTTCATCCCTCGAGTTAGGCACCTTTTAAAGCTTGTCTCATAGGTCAGCTTTAAGTGGCTTAACAAACCTCTCAGAGGAAAACCTTCCCTAAAAAAGGTCAGGTACAAGGACTGAAAATGAGTAAAAACAAAAGCAGCCAATGCACAAAGAAAAATGTCAAAAAAGCTTCAGAAAAGCTGAAGCTCAAGGCTTCAGCGTTGGAAAAACTGTTGCTCAAGGCAACCTAGAAGAATTATAAAAAAGTCAGGCTCATTGGAAGCAAAATATAAAGAAATAAAAGGTGGCTCCAGACTTTTGCACAGTACTGCAGTTCACGGAGTTTCTGTATCCCAGTTTGAATAATGACACAGAAACAGCTTTCTATGCAAGACTTAACTTGTTACAGAGTTTATATTGTGTATCCGTGTCACACTACAATAATTAGGAAATCTGATTTTCATATCTTTATCTCAACAAACTATTTCCACACGGTAAACATGGCAACCACCTCAAAATGACACAGCCGTACCTCCCTGAGAAGGCGGACTTGTTTCTTCCTGTTGTCTGTTCTCCAGCTCCACAGTTTTCAGGTAAAGCTGGAGCAATTCCTTGGATTGCCGCTCCTGCTCTCTTCGATCCAAAACCCTCTGCAGCGTCTCCTGGAGCTCTTGGGCCTTTTTCTCTTGGAAGCCCAAAGCAGAGGCTAGTTCAGGGCATGGGGCATCCACTAAGGTCTGAAAAAGCAAAGCAAAACAATAAAATACAATTTGCGGCTCCTATTTTTAGATTGATTAACACACTTATCGCTTTCTTATACTTGACATATAATGTTGGTACCTGTAGGTCCGCCTCAGACATGAGAATAATGGTAGTCAGGTCCTGCTTCAGCTGCTGAGCCAGTTCATACCAAGGTGCTACAGTACTGGAGCTGTCCACAGTATCAGTCTCCAGCATCACAGAATCCCTAGCCATCCAAGCTGTGCCACCATCAACTAAAAAGTAAATATCAAATCAACACAAGGTGGTGCATTCCCGGGATATTAATGATTGATGATAAAAAGGATGCAGAAAAATGTCAGATAAAAGTAAACCTGCTTACTCCTGCAAGGTGGAGACCACCTCTCTTTGTCATTTAATAGCATGAATTTTGTGTTTGAGGGTAAACACAAAAAGTAAGCCTGATCTTCTACTACTGTCCCATCATTCTCTAGGACCACTGTGACTGAGTCACTGGAGTTGAACCCAAGACACTGTCGACCTGTTAAAAGAACAGAGAAACTACAAATATTATAGAGTGTCCCAGATTATTTTTATACTTCAAAGTGTTTAGCCATATGGTTGTATCCATCCAGCCGATTCAATATCCCAGCTGACTGTTGTGGAAAGAGGTGGCCGCAAGTCCAGTTTAGCATAACAAATTAACCTCACATGCGTGTCTGTGGACTGTGGGGGGGAACCAGCAAATCCAACACAGATCCTTCTCTCTGTGAGGCGACAGTGCCGCCCATATTTCAGAGGAAAACAATCAGTATTAGTGTATCCCATAAGCCAAATATTCAAAGCAGTAATACCTCAGACACCACCTGTTCATCAGGTGATTCAGCATACTTCCACATGTCAAACAAGTCAGTCCATTTAAAGAGTCACCAGCCCTTTCATCAAAGCTGCTCCTATTTGCAATACAAAACATGTCTTACTTCCACTCGCTTTTAAAATTGTACAGCTATAAATCAGCACCTCTAGTTTAATAGTGCCCCAGCTCAATATTTCATATACAAGTATTTATTTATGTATATTGAATAGGAATAAAGGCAATTTATAACTTTAAGCTAGCTTTAAAACCAAGAGGGGGGTTTTCAGATAGCATCCTAGTTTTGTCACTGGCAGTTACAGGAGACTTTATCAGAATCAGAAATACACTTCTAGTATCTTCATGTAGGTGGCTTCAAAATCAAGGACCCAGCCTGACCTCCTCCAAACTCTGCTGACACATAACAACGCCTGGTGACTAGCCTTCTAGGAATGAGCAGGAAGAGCAATGACTTTTCATGTTTAGCTTCTGCAAGTTTAAACACGATGGATAAAAATGGTGATGCTGCTTCTGCTGCCACACACGACTAGATAAGTAAGCTTGTCGACAGCAATAGCAATAATCACCTCAGTTGTAATGTTAGTGCCTCCCAACACTCTCACAAATCACTGAACATATGAAGTTCTTTCACTTTCGCAATATGAGACCCCGCTTTTAGCGCTCAGCACCAGTGCAAACTAAACATTTAAATACTGCACCCACAACGTTTGACTGCGTGAGACGGTACTTCACGTAACTGTCACACACCCGTTCAACATTAATGAATACATCGCTTTTATTAAAAAGAAACTCTAGCATGATAAAGTTCAGGAATGTAAAGTCATGACAACTTACCTTTTTTCTTAAGCTCATCTATGGAAAGAGCTACTAGCCCATGCGTTTGTTGTCGTGTGAAATTGCACACCTTACACGGTTTATCCGTCATTGTAGTCTGCGTTTAGAGAAGCAGATTTTGTGCTTTCTTATACCTTAATACTGACAGTTATCGTCAGCAGCTATCAACTGCTACCACTATCCCCGAATACGGAACTGCCGCCGTGCCGCTATGGCATCTGGGATATGTAGTTTAGCACATACATAGAAAGAACTGCCTTTGTGTTTACAGTTTGAATATAACGCTATAACCTCTATAGCGGTAATTTGAGTGTATTTTAAAAACATCTTTTATTAACTATTTTCAAGCTCTAGACATAAGAAATATGAGAATAATAACATGTCCTTCCGAGTAGCTCCTGTTAAAAAGCTCAAAGGTGGACTACCGCAAATGACCGCTAGATGGCGACCAAAGAAAGTCTGGCCTGACAGTGGAGTTCAGTTCTTTCTTTTTTGTTTTTCTTTCTTAAAGACATTTGGTTGGTTAATTGCGTGGTGAGAATAAATAGCTAGGGAGTAGGTGGAAGAGAGCCTGGAGAGGTGGAGGTATGGTCTGGAGAGAAGGGGAATGAAAGTCAGTAGAATCAAAGAATGCGTATTTGTGTAACAGTGAAACCAGGAGTACAGATACTGAAAAGTGGGTGGGTTTAAATAGTTTAAATACCTAGGTTCAGCCATCCAAAGCAGACAGTACAGGCTGAGTGGAGCGGGTGGAGATGATTATCAGGGGTGATTTGTGACAGATGGATAGCAACAGTGGTGAAAGTAATGGTTTATAAGATGGTACTGAGACCTGTATGGTTTGGAGACTGTGGCACTGACACACACACACACACACACACACACACACACACACACACACACACACACACACACACACACACACACACACACACAAAGGAGGCTGAGCTGAAGGTAGCAAAATGTTGATGAAGATGAAGATGTTAAAATTTTCATTACGATTGACCAGAAATTAAAAATCAGAAACTAGAAGTTAGAAATGAGTAGATCATAGGGACAGCTCAAGTTGAGCAGTTTGAAGACAAAGTTAGAGAGGCAAGGCTGAGATGGTTTGGACATGTGCAGAGGAGGAGAAGTAGATATACTGGACAAAGGATGTTGAATATGGAGCTGCCAGGCAAGAGGAAAAGAAAAGAATCAGAGAGGAGGTTCTTGGATGTAGTGACAGAGGACATGCAGAGGGTTGTGTGACAGAAGTGATGCTAAGGATGGGATGAAATGGAGGCAGATGATCCGCTGTGGCAACCCCTAAAGAGAGTAGTTGAGAGAGAAAAGAAGACTGCTTTATATGGTTCAAAAATGCACCACTTACATCACCTGAAACAATCATTTTAATACTGTAAGTCTAGCATTTAGGGGTCTAACCTTTAGGGGGTTGCTGTAGCAAATGACTTTATAGTTTTATTTATTTATTTTTATTATTTATGAACTACTGTAAATAAATAGTATCTTCTTGCTGTGAATTCATTAAGTATTATGGTTTCTGAAGGGGCCCTGGGCAAAGACATATTAAGCTATTATCTGGTGGCTGAATGCAAATCCGTTTCAACAAGTAGGGACTTACCACACCTCGTGACTAAGCTGTTGGCTTTGTTGTATAGATTTTTTTCTTGTTCTTTAGGCAAAAGGGTGTGTTCAGCTGAGGAAACGATGAAGCTGACATTAAGTCTAAAAGTAGAACAGGCTCTAATATGACAAAAACAAAACAAACAGACAAATAAAAACAATTTACAAAAGAGAAGTTTTCTTGGCAATGAAAGAAAGACAGTCATCAACATTGACCATGGAGAGGTCTCAGTATAAGATCTACTGAAGGTGTGTGAGCATGAGAATGTGCTATGGGGAAGCTAAAACCTAACTTGGTGTGCTTTTAAATTGTAGCGTTTTAATAACAGACAGTAAGAATAGTGAGTGATACTTTGGAGTTAGACTTATCCTGCAGTGTCCCTTACTCACCTGCAGGAGGCAGTAGTGCATCCTAAAACATGTTGCGTGGTAGAAATATACCAGAATAAGAAGAGTGGCAGAAGGAACAGAAGAAGAAGATGGCATCCAACGACCAAGCTGAGGCAATAACACAGGTCTCTATATGCATTAAAAGCGGTTTCTTTTTAATGTCCATTTGCGGTAGTGAACTGTTTTAGATATTTCGGGGCCTTAGATGTCTTAACGTTGGCATCACGTGCCTGGAAATGCTCATCAAGTTAGAGATTAGCATGCCTGCTAGTTAGCATGCTAGCTAGGTTTCGAGGCAAAAGTTGTCACTGAGACATGAGTGTGTTTACAAGTGGGCAGGAAGGGGCGTCATTTAGAGTTGCCATATTGTGTCGAAAATAATATGGCATAGTTACTATATTTGCCATTGTCATCAAACGGTACAGCTGTACAATTGCATCTGAGCGTGTAGCCTCGTCTTACTGTGTGCAGATAACTGTAGGTGCAACTCAAAGGTCAGTGTAGGCAAATAAACCTGATGGTCTCTGTTGGGTTGCAGTCACAGTGTTATCTTTGAACTCACCAGCCCCCCAAAACAAATGTCATCGAACGTTTTTATTCATGTATGTCACCAGTGACACCTTTACTTTTTGCATATACGTTTATATATGCTGTAGAGAAATGCAAAATATTTTTATGTACATATGTGAGAGATGCTTAGTTACACCTTAAACACCTTAAATACATTTTTATTGTTTTTAAAATTCTCTAAACAGTAACTGTAGCTCAGGAGGTAGAGAGGGTCATCTACTAATTGTAGGCATACAGACTGTTGCTCAATTGTGCTTGCCCAAGTATCCTTAAGCAATTTCCTAACCCAAGTTGCTTTCTAATGTGTTCATCAGAATGTGTGTGAATGTTCCATAGAAAGTGCTAAGGCCTAGAAAAAAAAGTGTTTGTATGAATGGGCAAATGAAGTGCTTTGAGTGCTCACATAGAAAATGGTAAATGGCCTGTATTTGTATAGCGCTTTACTTAGTCCCTAAGGACCCCAAAGTGCTTTACACTACATTCAGTCATCCAGCCATTCACAAACACATTCACACACTGGTGATGGCAAGCTACAAAAGCACTAAATAAGAACCAGTCCATTTATGTCATTAATGTTTTCTTACCCAATCTTGTGGAAATGAAAAATAGCCTTTTTTAAATTTATTTATTTTCCTGCCGATAGAACAAAATCTGTCCACATTCTACCACAAGCACTGCTCCATAAACATCACAGTGAAATGGATACCCTTCAGTTTCCACAATCAATTTATTTGTGTTGTGAATTTTCCCTTGTTCACAATTTCTACAGTTTCCCATCTGTTACTGTACATAGGGAAATGTTTATGGAGTACAGCATGAAGCTAAACTCTTCACCATGATGAGAACAGGTTAAAAAAACTTCTGAGTTATGACAGTAGTTAACTTTTGACAAAAGCTAACAAGAAGTTAGGTAGGTAGGTAGTTTGATGCTTGCAGCTGTTTCTAGAACTCTTTCTTCTCTGTTTATTACATACCTGCAGAATCATACAGCAGCACAATTCATCCAAAAGCTTTTCAAATGCACGAGAGTTGCTCACATTTATGTACCTGACACCACAGAAGTAACTTCAGTCACAGTAAATTATCCCCAAAATTCAGGCAGTTTTGATCAGGATCTAGCAGCAGATAACACTGTGTTCTGTACTTCACACAGGCTCTGACAGGGTTCAGTCTCTAGCTAATGGGGATCCTAATAAACTGAGCAATTTTTAAGTGTAAGAGTTGCCTGATCAGTTTGCAGAAATGTGCCAAGCGTGAAAGAGTGCTCAAGCACTTTGTATAAATGTTGTTGATATGCCTGAATGAAGCCTTGAGGCCTAGTATTGTAAAAGTGTCCCATACCTGAATAACCGAATACTGTCACTTCAACAGATAAAGCCAGCAATGTTACATACCCTGTGCTTGTAAAGGGCGACCATAGTTACCAAGCTTCAAAGCGACATTACTTCTGTTTTCCACTAGATGGCACTCTAATACAAATGTTTGTTTATGTTCTCAGCCTGGCCTTCTGCCTGGAAAAGAGGGAGCACGTAGCCCCAGAGAAGAACTGGTAAGAATTTATTCCTTAATCTCAATTACATGAATTATTGGTAAGGAAACATTGACTGTAACCACAAAAACATTAAATGAAGCTAATGTAAGTGAGAGCTGGAAAGAAATAGCATCTTGGATCAAACGATGCAAATATTAAATTACATTTCCTGTAAAGAAAACAAAAAGCAATGAATAAGGTATCATAATGGCTGGAAATAATATTTCAGATATTCTCACATGGCACACGCTGTGATTCTTAATACTAGTGCTCAGAAGTGTGGATTTTTCAAAAACTCAAGTATTCGTGGGATTTTGAAAGAATGAAAATCTAATTTCTTGGCTTGATCTGGTGATGCATAGTTGAGGAAGATTATGATGGTTTTTCTCTCCCCCCCACCTTAAGATCTGATAATTTAAAGACTTTTATTTGGCTGTATTACACATTCCCCAGGGAGATCCAGTATTAAAGGCTTCCAATTAGCAGACAGTCACTTTATACATCACAATGATGTCCCCAAGCTGTAATGAGAGTATACTTTATGTTCTTGGTCTTTAGAGAGGAAAATGGTCTATTTTAACAGCAGCAATGGGTTCCACAGTTTCTTTAATCATGCATAGCATAAAACTTTGACTGCACATCTTTGTTGTTCTTTGTTTATCCTTTTAGTCTGTGTCAGAAATGGGTCGAGAAAGTTGCTCATTTGGAGTTTCTTCACCATGTAGACTCCTATGCAAACACAAAGGGCACTTGAAGGTGTTGTTCCCTCAAAAGGGTGTTATAAGGTGGTGTTTAACAAGAATAAATGTCAGTTTTTCTCTTCAGTAATGTGCAGAGTGTTTATAAGGCATGCTTGGCCCAAGCGATGACTATAACCAGGAATGTTTGGTAATTGCTAAGTGGGATGGAATCCATCCCAGGTACACTCACTGTCCTTGTATAGGCACAGCATGCAGGTTATAGACGTGCTGTATTGTTCAGCCTACATGTCTCAATGTCATTCACCACCATTCACTCTTCATCTTCCCCCCATCATCCCTTCATGCCAAGGCTAATTTAATCC